TCAAGTCTACCAAGGGTTTTTTTTTTTTGAGGGGGGGGGGGGGCTTGTTTATTTTTTTCTGTTTTTTTATTTTTTGAGGGGGGTTATTTTATTTTTGTTGGTTTTTTTTGGTTTGTGGCTACATGGTTAGCACTTCCGCCTGGCAGTACTCGGGTCGTTGGTTCGAATCCCAGCCACGGCACCACCTGCCTGGAGTTTGCATGTTCTCCCTGTGACTGTTTGGGTTTCCTCCAGGTACTCTGGTTTCCTCCCACACTCCAAAGACATGCTGGTAGGTGAATTGACTCCTGTCTAAATTGCCCCTAGTATGTGTATGTATGAATGTGAGTTAGGGACCTTAGATTGTACGACCCTTGAGGGTTAGGGACCCTTAGATTGTACGTACCCCTTGAGGGTTAGGGACCTTAGATTGTACGCCCCTTGAGGGTTAGGGACCTTAGATTGTACGCCCCTTGACCTTAGGTACGCCCCTTGAGGGTTAGGGACCTTAGTTTGTACGCCCCTTGAGGGTTAGGGACCTTAGATTGTACGCCCCTTGAGGGTTAGGGACCTTAGATTGTACGCCCCTTGAGGGTTAGGGACCTTAGATTGTACGCCCCTTGAGGGTTAGGGACCTTAGATTGTACGCCCCTTGAGGGTTAGGGACCTTAGATTGTACGACCCTTGAGGGTTAGGGACCTTAGATTGTACGCCCCTTGAGGGTTAGGGACTGATGTGAATGTACAATATATATGTAAAGTGCTGTGTAAATTGATGGCGCTATATAAGTACCTGAAATAAATAAATAAAAATAAAAAAATGGGGGGGGGCTTGTTTTTTTTTGCTTGTTTTTTTTTTTTTTTTTATTATTATTATTATTATACAGGATTTATATATTATTATTATACAGGATTTTTATATTATTATTATTATATACAGGATTTATGGCGCCAACAGTTTGCTCAGCACTTTACAATATAACGGGAGACAATACAGCAACAATACAGTTCAATACAAGAGGGTTAGTTTTGTTTTTTGTTTTTATTTATTTATTTTTTTGGGGGGGGTTGTTGATTTATTTTTGTTGGTTTTTTTTTTGTTTTTATTTTTTTTTGGGCGGGGAGGCTTTTTTGTTTTGTTTTTATTTTTTTGGGGGGGTTGTTTTATTTTTCTTGGTTTTTTTTCTTTGTTTTGGTTATTTTTTTTGGGGGGTTGTTTTATTTTAGTTGGGTTTTTTTGTTTCGTTTTTATTTTTAATTTTTTTGGGGGCGGTTGTTTTATTTTTGTTGTTTTTTTGTTTTTATTTTTTATGGGGGGGGTTGTTTTCATTTATTTATTTTTTCGGGGAGGGGATTGTTTTATTTTTGTTGTTTTTTTCTTTTTTTTGTTTTTTTTTTTGGAGAGTTTTTTTTTGGTTTTGGGGTTTTTTTTTTTTTTGGCTTTTTTAATTTTTTTTGGCCATTATATGTGTATATTATATGTGTCCTGGCAGTGTTTTTTTTTTTGCATTCATTCGCACCGATACTTTGCTGTAGTATTTGTGTTTATGTACTTTCCAGGTAATAGAGTGGCAGCTATTCCAGCGTTGTCACAAGGAGGCCGTATCACTCCAGCCGGCTGACCACAAGCTTTGAGCTCATTGTTAGGAGCTGTCTGTCACATGAAGGGCCCCGTCGTCCTCGCCTCGTTGTCATTCCATTGTCTTGGGCGGCTTCAAAGGGCGCCTATGACCTCATATCACTGCTGATGACAGCCGCTCTTCACCCGGGGGAATGTCAAGGCAAACGTTTTTATCACAACCCTTCCATAGACCCCCCCCCAATCCTGCAGTTCTGCATGGCTCTGGATTGATGGGATTTGGTAGTCTCAGATTAAAGTAGTTGTAATCCCTTACATATATCCAGTGAAGGGACTGACCTTTCAGATATGAAACAAATCCTCCTATGTAAGTTGTACCTGTTTATCTGTAGCCTCTCTTCTCTACAGCCATTCAAAGTCCAGAATTTAAAAAGCTTGTCTGAGAGTTCAGAAAAAAGGGTGAGGAGAGCTGAGATTCCACACTGCAGAGCTCAGTGAGGAGAGCTCTGAGAGCTGATTGGAGGGAAGGGACACACCCCTTTCCACACAGTTCACAGGAACAGAGCTGAGGCTGTCAATCTGCTGTCACCATTTTTCTCTTGGTGTCCGGAAAACTTGTGAGAGGAACCAGCCCAACTTGTAGAGGAACCAGCCCAGCTTGGAGAGGAACCAGCCCAGCTTGAAAAGGAATCAGCCCAGCTTGGAGAGGAACCAGCCCAACTTGTTGAGGAACCAGCCCAGCTTGGAGAGGAACCAGCCCAACTTGTTGAGGAACCAGCCCAGCTTGGAGAGAAACCAGCCCAGCTTGTTTGCCCAGCTTGGAGGAACCAGCCCAACTTGAGGAACCAGCCCTGCTTGGAGAGGAACCAGCCCAACTTGTTGAGGAACCAGCCCTGCTTGGAGAGGAACCAGCCCAGCTTGGAGAGGAACCAGCCCAGCTTGGAGAGGAACCAGCTTAGATTGGAGAGGAACCAGCCCAACTTGTAGAGGAACCAGCCCAGCTTGGAGAGGAACCAGCCCAGCTTGGAAAGGAACCAGCCCAGCTTGGAGAGGAACCAGCCCAACTTGTAGAGGAACCAGCCCAGCTTGGAGAGGAACCAGCCCAGCTTGAAAAGGATTCAGCCCAGCTTGGAGAGGAACCAGCCCAACTTGTTAAGGAACCAGCCCAGCTTGGAGAGGAACCAGCCCAACTTGTTAAGGAACCAGCCCAGCTTGGAGAGGAACCAGCCCAGTTTGGAGAGGAACCAGCCCAGCTTGGTGAGGAACCAGCCCAGCTTGGAAAGGAATCAGCCCAGCTTGGAGAGGAACCAGCCCAACTTGTAGAGGAACCAACCCAACTTGTAGAGGAACCAGCCCAGTTTGGAAAGGAACCAGCCCAGTTTGGAAAGGAACCAGCCCAGTTTGGAGAGGAACCAGCCCAGTTTGGAGAGGAACCAGCCCAGCTTGGAGAGGAACCAGCACAGCTTGGAGAGGAACCAGCCCAGTTTGGAGAGGAACCAGCCCAGCTAGAAGGCCTGAAAGCAGATTTAACCACAGCTGCAGGACAAGGCCAGTATGAGCTCCTCTACACCCCCAGGGCCTAGAAGGGAGAGGTCTGCTGGATGCAAGTTCTGGCAAGTCTTCATGGGACAGTTCATACCTTACCCAATCCCTTGTCCTGGGATCAGATACCGCAGCCAGGTGGGCTGGTATTTTGTTCACTTTGGGGACTATGGGCTCCTACAAGTTGGGACTTTTCTAAACTTCCATTCAAGGGGACTCAGAGCTCCTGCAAGCTCTCACTTTGCTAAAGAAACTATCAGGGTTCTGGTGGACCACAGTCATCCGTTGGCCATTTTTCGTGGAATCTTTTAGAGACGGAAATTGTCCTCCATTGGTATTCGGCAATCAAGTTGGGCGTCTCATAACCCCCTCACCTTATCCAAGTTACATTCCCTAACAAAGCCAAGCCCAAGGACTGTGTCTTGTGTCTGGATACAAGTGGAAAATGCGTGTTGTCTGGCTGTGCAGGAAGTAAAGGGGGACCCCAGCCCCAGAAGCTGTCACTTTCCTAAAGAGACTATCAGGGTTCCCGGGGGACCACAGTCATCCGTTGGCCATTTTTCTTGGAGTCTTTTAGAGAAGGAAATTGTCCTCCATTGGTATTCGGCAACCAAGTTGGGCGTCTCATAACCCCCTCACCCTATCCAAGTTACATTCCCTAACAAAGCCAAGCCCAAGGACCAGGGGCGGACTGACTATTTGGAAACTCGGGCACTGCCCGAGGGCCCGGGATCAGTAGGGGGCCCCATGAGATGCCCCTGGCACCTTTTTCATAGGCTTTTTTGAGTTTGGGCAAGGACACAGGGGCCCCATGATCCCCTATTGCCCGGGGACCCCATGAGTTGTCAGTCTGCCCCTGCCACGGACTGTTTCTTGTGTCTGGATACATGTGGATACATGTCGGAGGAAGAAGACGGTTTTGTATGGAAATAGTGTCTACAGGAATACATTTCTTGGGAGTCATCATCCGACCCGTGATCTCGATTATAAGCCGTCCATGTGATGTCCGGGGGGGAGGGGCCCCTCTCATTTCCTCCATTTAAAACTGGGAATATGACCAAACCCAACCAGCCAATCCCACCGCGGCCGTCACTCCCAATCCCTTCACTTTCCACCACTCTACACAATGGAAGGATTCTTCTCTTTTTATGGTGCAAATGAAATGGTCAGAAGTTTGAACTCCGGTCAGTTTTTTTTTTTGTACAGAACCATTGTCAGCGTTTTCTGTGTCTCCATTGTGCAGATTTGTCTCACTTCCTGTTGTTGTTTCAGAGGGAAGGATAAAGGGAAAATTTTACAGCAGGAACACAGATTGAATAAAATTGGCCAAAACTTGTCTCCTTCCACATATTCCCCACCCCCACTCCACATGCTCATGACATTTTTAAATAAAACATTTCCGTTTTCATTATAGACCTAATTTTACACCCAGTGATGTCATGCTTCTCTATGCAATGCAGGTAGATCATGGCTGGTGGGAGGGGCTGTACGTTGCTTCCTGAAAACATCACAGCCCCCTGCTTCAGTACTCCTCCCAAGAGCCCCCTGTCCTGATAAAAGCCGTGGGAGGAGTTACGCAAATATCAAAATGCTTTGATGAGTGGATGTCAGTCTGGAGGAGTGGGCGTTCCAAGGCAGGCTGTATTTGCATATGCAACGCCCATGTGTGATGCTGAACCTGTGTGACTGACAGAAACTAAAATGAAATGAATAAAAGGGGTGGAGCCAAGGACAGTCAGGATGGGGAGGAAAGAGCTAGATAATGCTGGTTGTCCCCCAGCCAGGAAATGAGGCAGAGCTTTATCTGACTTACTGAAGCTTCTAATGCATGTTGTAAGAAGCTCACAGTGTGCAGTGACATCAGAGGAAGCCAATTCAGTCCAGGAGAGGGGCCGGTACACCTGTGCAAGACTGGAGGGGAGGAGCAGGTACACCTGTGCAAGACTGGAGGGGAGGAGCCGGTACACCTGTGCAAGACTGGAGGGGAGGACCCGGTACACCTGTGCAAGACTAAAGGGGAGGAGCCAGTACACCTGTGCAAGACTGAAGGGGAGGAGCCGGTACACCTCTGCAGGACTGAAGGGGAGGAGCTGGTACACCTGTGCAAGACTGAAGGGGAGGAGCCGGTACACCTGTGCAAGACTGCAGGGGAGGAGCCGGTACACCTGTGCAAGACTGAAGGGGAGGAGCCGGTACACCTCTGCAGGACTGAAGGGGAGGAGCCGGTACACCTGTGCAAGACTGAAGGGGAGGCCGGAGGGGGAAGTGAGTGTCGGGGGATTTATTTGCATTGTCATTGAACTTTGTGTAATTCACATTTGCTGGAAACGCATTAAAGATGCAGCAATGGGAACTTGTTTCTATTGCAATGCAGCTATATGAACAACGCTGTTATCTGTGGTGGAACCAGGGGCGGACTGACCATTTGGAAACTCGGGCACTGCCCGAGGGCCCGGGGTCAGTAGGGGGCCCCATGAGATGCCCCTGGTACCTTTTTCATAGGCTTTTTTGAGTTTGGGCAAGGACACAGGGGCCCCATGATCCCCTATTGCCCGGGGGCCCCATGAGTTGTCAGTCCGCCCCTGGGTGGAACTACAAGTCCCAGCAGTCCAGCCATGCGGTGGTGATTCAACCGTCCTCTATTGGTGTGATGGTATGTGATCTGAGATTTGTTTCCTCTGATTGCGGCTTCTCGCCTCCAGGATGGGATGAAAGGATGAAAGTCCCTGCAGACTACAGAGCGGGGAGCGTGTGACCCCCCCGCCAGCAGGGACAGGTAAACATGATCCCCCTCACCTGGCGTCTGTTCCCTCCCCCTCCGCCAAGGAAATAAAAGCCAGGTGTCAAGGAGTGTTTTCTGGCTGAATGGTCCTTTATAGGTTCTACAATCCGTCTGTTCCTCTAAACACACAATTCCGGATTATTCCCACATGGCAGACCCACCATAGAGACCCCAGCAAAAGAGATTCTTCATTACCAACATTGGGCAGAGGAGTGTACCCCAAAATTACCCCTTTATATGCACTAACAAATCCCCCCTCCTAGTGTGCACCCCAACATCGCCGCTTTCCTCATGTGCACCGCAACATCGCCCCTTTCTTCGTGTGCACCCCAACATCACCTATTTCCTTGTGTTCACCCCTATATTTCCTTGTGTGCACCCGAGAATGCCCCTTTCCTTGTGAGTACCCCAAGATGGCTTCTTTCCTCGTATTCACCTACTATTGCCTCTTTCCTTGTGTGCACCCCTAACTTGCTGTTTTCCTCAGTATGGACCCTAATCTTGTCCCTCTTTTTGTGTGCACCCTGAGATTTCTTCTTTTGCTGCATGCATCCCAAGAACGTCCATTTTTCTTGTGTGAACTTGTACCCCAAGATTCTTTCATTGCGTGCACCCTTGAATTGACCTTTTCTTCCTGTGCACCCCAAGAATGACCCTTTTTTTGTGTGCACCCTGAGGCTGCCCCTTTCCCTTTGTGCACTTTCACATTCCCCCTTTTCCCTATGTGAACCCTTAAACTGACCCTTTCTTTGTATTCACCCCAAGAATGACTCTTTCCTTGTGTGCACCCTGAAACTGTTCCTTTCCTGGTGTGCACTTTCATATGCTGTGTGCACCCTAAAACTGACCCTTTCTTCCTGTGCACCCCAAGAATGACCTTTTCCTTGTGTGCACCCTAAGATTGCCCCTTTCCTTCTGTGCATCATGAGATTGCCTCTTTCTGTTTGTTCACTTTCACATGCTCCCTTTCCCTGTGTGCACCCTGAAACTGACCCTTTCCTTGTGTGCACCCCAAGAATGATTCTTTCCTTGTGTACACCCTTAAATTGACCCTTTCTTCCTGTGCACCCCAAGAATTACATTTTTCCTTGTGTGCACCCTTAAATTGACCGTTTCCTTGTGTGCACCCCAAGAATGACATTTTTCCTTGTGTGCACCCTTAAATTGACCGTTTTCTTGTGTGCACCCCAAGAATTACATTTTTCCTTGTGTGCACCCTTAAATTGACTGTTTCCTTGTGTGCACCCCAAGAATGACCCTTTCCTTCTGTGCATCATGAGATTGCCAATTTCTGTTTGTTCACTTTTACATGCTCCCTTTCCCTGTGTGCACCCCGAATTGTGAAAAGAGCCCAAGGTGGGCACCAAGAGGGTTATAGATTGTTGCGGGATCACGTTTGGGGTTTTAAAGGATAATGGCGTCCAAATACGCGCCGTGCTTTGTCCTGCAATTGCCATGCGATTTGGAATTGCAGGCAAATGGCGAGTTGTGAAAAGAGCCCGAGGTGGGCACCAAGAGGTTATAGTCATTTGGATCTCATCAGGTTCTCGTGTAATCAAAGTTGTGAAAGAGGCCACCAGTGTCAGGATTTGTCACGAAGGATATTTTGTAACAAATCTTTTCTTGGAACCCTCCAGTAGCAGCCAATCAGCTTCTCCGTTTATTGCTGCACTAGAAATAGTAAATTGGGTCTTACAGGAAGGAAAAGACGTTCTTCCTTCACTTTTTTTTTGTAGCCCCCGTGGCGGCTCTGTGCCAAACGTGTCCTGCGGGTCGGACCTCACACAGATTGGGGGGGGGGGTGGAGATGTCCCGGGACTTTGGTTGGAGTTGTTCTGTCATACATGGCGATGAATTGGATCTGTGTTCCGCACGCCCAGACCCCCAACCCCAATGAATCGTCTTGTGTTTCCGAGTTCAGAAGAGAGAGAGCAGAGCTTCCCCTGACAGACTGAGTGTCTGCAGATTTCCTGTGGACCCCCCCCCCCTCCCCTTCCTTACCCCCGGCCTGCTAACCATTATCCCTCTCCCCCTGATCCCTCTCCTGCCACTGTGAGAACAGCCAGCCATCCCATCATTATTATTAATTCTTATCATTTATTTAGAAAGAGTCAAACATATTCCACCGCCACGTCCAAACACTGCAAATTTCACATATGTGACACGTCTACAAACCGCGGCCGATTATCACAATTATGAGCCATTATCTCCATACGTTCTCCTCAGTCAAATTTGCCATTATCCATACATTATAGGCAGCCTTGTGGTCATGCGTCCCTGGGAGGAGGACAAGCAGCCATGTTGTTTCTGAACTGTGGGAACGTGTTTGCCCTCTGAACCCAACAGGGGAACTCTGGATCAAGAGGGCAGTTGCTCCTGGGTCCACTCTTATTTTTACAGATGTGCTCCTCCGCTCAAGGCTTCAGCCGTCCTTCATTAGTGACCTTGGGAGGGCATGGCTTGTTCATGTAGATGTTCTCTGGAACAGCCTGTTTGGAGCGCTCCGATTACATTTACCGTGAGAATTCAGAAAGGGGAGTGAGGTCTACTAGAGAAAAAATGTATCCTAAGCATCCTGTGCTTGACCACTTATCTCCAGCACTGTTCATCTCCTGCCCTTTCCATAGAGGGCTTCAGCTGTCTTTCAATGGTCACTTCAGGAGAGCATGGCCTGTTCATGCTGATGTTCACTAGAACAGCCTATTGGAGCATTCCTATCACATATACCATGTGAATTTGAGAGAGGAGTGGGGTCTACTACTGCAAAAATGTATCCTGAGCATCCTGTGCTTGATCACTTATCTCCAACACTGCTCATCTACTTTTCCATAGAGGGCTTCAGCTGTCCTTCAGTGGTGATCCCAGAAGGGCATGACCTGTTCATATAGCTGTTCTTTGGAACAGCTCATTGGGAGCACTCCTATTTCACTTACCACAAGAATTTGAGAGAGGAGTGAGGTCTACTAGTGCAAAAATGTATCCTGAGCATGCTGCGCTTGACTACTTATCTCCAGCACTGCTCATCTCTCAGTTTCATAGAGGGCTTCGTCTGTCCCTCAGCGGTGACCTCAGGAGATCATGGCCCATTTATATCGGTGTTCACAGCCAATTGGAACACTCCCATGACATTTGCCTTGTGCGTTTTGGAGGGGAGTAAGGTTTATTAGTGCAAAAATGTATCCTGAGCATTCTGCGCTTGACTACTTATCTCCAGCACTGCTCATCTCCTCCATAGAGGTCTTCAGCTATCCTTCAGTGGTGAACCTCTGGAGATTATGGTCTGTTCATATTGATCTTCGTTAGAACAGCCCATTGGAGCAATCCTATGACATTTACCATGAAACTTCGGGAGGGGAGGGAGGTCTGCTACAGCAAAAATTTATCCTGAGCATTTTGTACTTGACCACATACTGTATTTCTAAATATTGACATCTCACAATTCCTAACATTATTGAGCTCTATCAGCTGCCTCTCAGTGGTGACCTTAAGAGAAAACTGTTCATATCAAGATGTTTGCTAGAATAGCCAATTGGAGTACTATGACATTTGCCTTGTGATTTCGGGAGGGGAGTGAGGTTTACCAGCTCAAAAAATGAATCCTGAGTATCCTGTGCTTGATCACTCATCTCCAGCACTGTGTCATCTCCCACTCGTTCCATAGAGGTCTTCAAAGCTGTCCTTCCAGATCGTGACCTCAGAAAGCTCATGGTCTGTTCATATACTGTTGATGTTCACTAAAACAGCTCTTTGGAACACTCCTATGACATTTACTATGTGAGTTTTGGGAGAGAAGTGAGCTCTAGCTGTTCAAAAATGTATCATGAGCATCCTGTAATTGACCAACTTATCAGCACTGCTCATCTTCGCCGCTTGCGTTCGCAGAGAGGGCTTCAGCTGTCCTTCAGTGATGACTTCAGGAGGGTATGGCCTATTCGTAATCTATTCTCTGCAGCCATTGGAGCACTCCTATTGCATTTACCAAGAGAATTCGGGAGAGGAGTGAGATTTAGTTGTACAAAAAATGTATCCGAGCATCCTGTGATGGAAGAACTCTGATGTGATTGGGGTCTGTGATGCGACGGGGAACCTTTATGTCTGTGGGACCTCTGATCTGTGGAGGATCTCTGATGCGATGGGAGCCTTTCAGGACTCTTGATGGGTGGCGGAGGGACTCTTGGTGATACATTGCGGGCCTCTGATTTAAACAGGAGATTTTGATGTGTTGGGATGGACCTTGTAGGGCCTTTGATGCAGATGGGTGGGTCATTGTCTGAAGTGAAGGTAGGGGGGGCTGTGAAGGGGAACCTCTCATTGTGAATGGGTTTGTGAAGCATTTGATGTGCATGTGAGAGCAGATAAACTATTCTGATTTTCTGATATGAAACACTTGAACAATTCATCCTAGTGGGCTGCTCAACGCGAATTTGTCAGCAGTCACATCAATCAATA